CACCCTCGGAATTAGCCATTTCGAAATACGGCGACGAACGAAGCGGACTGTAAAGTACAGATGGGGGGGGGGCCGTATCGGAGCGATCAGCGAAACAGCGCTTGGAATTCCACGGATACCCAAGACGATGTTTACTGAACATATCCCGCGCGAGTTCGCGTTTCATATGCGCGTCTCCAGTCACTTTTAAGATATTAAACGTCAATGAGGGCTCACCGCCGCTGGGCTGATGCGGGGATTTCGGCGATATTTCATTGGAGCTTTTGAATACATGTATGAGAGCGCATCTGTTTCTCCTGATTGATGAAATAGATTGTGCTTTTGTGACACGCACCTGCGTCTGCCGCCGTATCCTTTCGCGTTCTATTTTACCTCCTCCTAAGGCACATATTGCGGAGAGGGAGATACATTACCTCCAGAACGGCCTCCCGTCCTCCCGTCCTCCCTCCTCGCGATCGTACAACTCTGCGCCGTACGGCTCGACGCTGAAGTGGGATTTTCATCGCGCCGTCGCGCGCTAATAACGCGTATCGGCGACCGACGATTTTACGAGCGAGCTCTCCGCGATTAATATCGCCGCGATTGTGTGAATCCCGACTTATATTATATTACCTCTCAAACATTTCATTACCGCCGTACAATGTAACAAACAGTTTTCTGACTGTTAACATATTTTCCCGTCCACTCGCGCGCATTTTATCTGCCAATACGACTTCGTAACGGTTAAATGCGGCGGCGTTAAAAGAGGAGCACTGGACTATAATATCCAGTCGAATGCCTTGGCTTATCGATATCGAATATGTCTCGATGACACGCGCGAGTTATCAAACATTTAGCCGTCCTCCTCGCATGCGCGCGCCTCCACCTCGCTGCGGTATAAATTTTTTACAGCGCCGCGTAACGTCGAGATAATGCAATTCGTCGGCGGGGCTGCCGCGGCGCTAATGAGGCAGACCGCTTAATTGCGTCTGCGTTAATTACAGAGATATCTCGGGCGGGATGAGTCGTGTTTTATTATGCGTCCCACATCGCGTCTGAAGAATGTACCGTAATATTTGGTATCATCCTCGCGCCCGCACTTACTCTCGCGCTTACGTCCGAGATAAATAGCGCGGAACGTCCGGCACGTCATTGTCGCGCTAAACGACGATAGGACGATAGGATCGAGAGACGGTGGCGCTTCCCTCGCTCTTCTCCCTCTCCCTCGCGGTCAGCATTGTCACGGGGGGTCGTAGAATGCGAAAGAAATCTGCATGGTTCTCGCACCGTCGACGGTGGCCGACGTGCTCTCCTCTCCCCTCTCTGCCCGAGAGTGGCCGCAAAGTTCGGTCGTAATTTGTTCGTCAAAGTTTCGCTTCATAAACCCGCCGCGTTCTCTCTCGCGGTCTCACGGAAAAGAGGACTGTAAATAATTAAACCGAGCATAAAACTCGGCCTAGCGAGAGGCGCGCGCCCCGACCGATGCGGAAAAAGTGCATAAAATTCCGCAGGGCAGAGTGACGATCTCTGGCGGAGCCTAGCGGTCCGCGCTCGTTAAAACGCCGCGGCGCTGGACCTGCCGCGGCGAGGACCACGCAGACTCCTGCCACCCCCGCAGACGCCCCCTCCGTACAGCCGTCGCCCTTTCCGCCTCTGCCGTTGGCATTTATTGTGCGCGCAACACCACTGATAGTGCGCGAAAACAATCCTTTTGAGCGGCCGGCAAAACATTCCGCTTGTCGATGGATGTTACGCGGCTGCGACGAGGCCGCGCCCGTTGCCCCACGCGAATTCGCCGTCGTTGCGACTGGACAAAAAACATCCGAAAGCTTTTGCGCGGGATATTCGCGCCGGAGCTCTAATTGCCTTAAAGGTTTACACGCTCCCGCCCGCGTCTCGCCCGGCCGTGAGAGATAGGGAGCATTGATCATTTTTAACTGATGGTCCCGTAATTAACTTCGCGAGGCGGTCGTTTCTCCGCGCGACTTCCGCGCGTTTCCCTGCCCGATCTAATTTCAACCTCTATCTCATTCGACAATTGAATTATCCTTTTCCCTTCTAATTATCGATTGTACAATGCGAGAGATCCTAAGTGCATATTTTGGTTTCCACGGCCGTGAATATCGACAGCGATCCGTGCTTCCGTGTGTACCGCACGCGTGAAAGAGAGAGAGAGGGAGAGAGAGAGAGAGAGAGAGGGAGAGAGAGAGAGAGAAGTTATATTTGTTTTTCATTTGTCACAAAAAGGGGATGCCTCGGACTCTCGTTAAGAACCTTCCGAGCGAGAAGTTTGAGAATCGATGCCCGAGCGAGTGCGGTGGCGTCTTTTTTATCTCAGTCATCCATCCCAAAAACTATGGTCGTCTATTCGAAAATCACCCCATTATTTCACCGTGTGTTTCTCAAGGGTCTAGTCCGCAGGTGCGACAAAGTCACTTTCTACCTCTCTCTCTCTCTCTCTCTCCTTCTCCCTCTACCTCTCCCTCTCGCTCCCTCCTTCTTTCCCTCCGACCCGCTGCGAAATCTATTAAAGAAATCGCCGGCGGACACATCGCAATCCTCGTAAGTCGTTTCACGCGTCGTTCGCTCGCACCTGCTCGCGCGTGGGAGAGCGAAAGAGCAGCGAACGGCGTGATTCACTTGACGGACACGAACGCGACGCGATGCGTCGCCCGGCGAGGCGAGGCGAGGCGAGGCGAGGCGAGGCGAGGCGAGGCGAGGCGAGGCGATCGCTGCAAAACGACTGCATCTCGCGGCGATAACCGCGCGCGCGAGCATCTCGCCCGCTACGTCCCGCCAACGTCCCGCCGCATTCCCCGCGCCTTCCATTTTTTATGACACTCGAACCCGCCGGAGCCGTGCACCGCAGAGCGTGGCCGGGCCCGGCCTCGGGGGCGAACGAGTGCGCGAGAGGTCGCTGGTATTTCCAATTTCACAGAGCGTGGGTTAACGAGGCCCGAGGGGTGGAGAGAAGTTAGGGCAACCACCCTCCGTAACTTGGCCTCCCCGGCCAAAAACTGACGCCGACGTTGGGTACCAAGCCCCCCTCTCCCCCTGTGCCCACCCCGATCTCGCTGCCGTTCGCGGCGCACCCCTTTAAACGCGGATGCCTCGTATACGTCGCGACGGAGGTTCCGGCACATTACCTTCGCTGATTACCGGGTCCGCCCCCGCGCAGACCGTGTCACCCGGTCGCAGCCGAGACGCATACCTTCCGGAATATGGCGACCATTTCACAGGTACGGTCGCGTCGCGTCTGCCGAGGTGGCTATCGCATGTGAACGAGGAAACGCCAGCACCTCAAAATGTTCTCGTGTTTGTTCCTGCCGCTTGATTTGCACATCGTAGGCCTCCTACGACGCAGTAGAAATACTCTCGCATGGTCGTAACGAACGACTGACAATGGGAAAGATATGTTACGAGGTGGAGCGATATCGGATATCAAGTAATACCATCTCAATGGATCAAGACGTGATATCAAAACGTGAAAGATGTGTCTTTATAAATAAATTCCTTGAGGAAATATCGGGGCGTGTGATAAGCAACTTCGAATCTTTTGATTAGGGCGATATTTGGAGAGAAAACAAGCTTTGTTTAATCGTGATCTAACAATAGTGTAAAAAGAGACCAACGATATTTGTCGTTTATGCCTTTTATGTACCATGTTCAGGAAGACCCTCCGTTATCGATAATAAAGAGTTATCAATTATTCACTCATGTATCAATTATAACATTTTTTCTAAAATGACTACCCTCGTTTAATTTTTAACATACAAAACCCTCGAACACTTTTTCGGTTACCTAATACAATCATTTCTTCTTACCTGGTAAATCCGAGAAAAAAGGGTTCGCTTGAATGGAACGTGAAGTCAAACAGAACATTTCCGGCAAAATACGAGCAAAATTCTGAGAAACAGAAATTCCGTTTCTTCCAGTCGAAATGCGTCTGGCAATGTCGTGTTGATCTAATCAAACTTTCCTCTCTCCCCGCGCACTAAATAAGGATAAATACAACCGCGCGCTAAAAAAAAAAGGTAATTTCAGAACAAGCGAAATCATGTAAATTTTAGAGGATTTTATTCTTATATATGGCCTCGAAAGGATTTCTCTAAATTTAAGAGGAAAATATTATAAACACATTATTCTTAAAGTTAGAGGGATTATATGTTACATGTATAATGCAATCTTATTGATTTTAATAATAAATTTCCTCTTATACATAGATTATTTAATCTCTTTTTAAGAGGATTGTTATTTATTCCTACTGTGTACTTTATTTCTTACTGGTTATACTAGTTAATTTGAAAAAATTATTATAAGGTATAGCGAAAAGTAATGTATATATATAGATGTACCTCAGGCTTCTACAATAAATAGGCACGAATGAAGTAAAATCATCATAACATTAAATTTCCAATCAATTTTGTAATGGACTTTATAGCTACAGAGATGTTCGTCATAACCAATTGTATGAAACATAGTTAAAGGAAAGGATATATTATTCAACTTCTTGCAACAGATTATAAACTGTACTTGACCAAATATATGAGTAAATTATCTTCGTTGTATGTTACAACAGCACATATGCCCTTTTTGAAAAGCGTTCCAAATATTCTGACCCAAGAGCATATAGTTACTTTTTCGTTCATGTCTGAAGATAGAGCATGACTGAACAAAAGAAGCCGACATTCAAATCAACATGTTTCTCTTTATATAAGAGGAAAATCGATTGATACAAGAGGAAATCCTCTTGAAATAAGAAGAAAATAGTTAGAATAATAATCTAATAGATTTTAGACGAATGGTCATTTTAATCGCTCTATCGAAAGAGGAATCCTTCTTCTGTAAAAGGCTTCGCCCAGAATATAAAACTATGGGAAAAATCACTTTACTCAAACAGAATACTATTTTGGGGTGCGTGATTAAAGCGAAGTTTCAAAGCATCGCCATCGCGTCAATAGCCGGCGCTGCGACACATTCTGTATCAATCACCGCTAACCACGAACGTTGGCATTGCGCAGGGCAGCGCAGAAGCTGAATCTGTCGTCGAGCCCGCACCGGAGACGACGTTCCGGGGACGAGAACATCGGACCTGACGAGCTGCCCATTTTTCCCAATGGATACGCCGCGCTCCTTCTCAAGTCGCCACCTCCGGCACCCCCCGCGCTTCTCAGGAGGATAGGCGTAAAAGAACTCACCGGGGTCGGCAAGGTAAGCTCCTATCGATATCGCAGCCCCGAGCGCGCAGACGATGAAGTTTCGGTCGCTGCACCTCGGCAAATATCCGACTATGAATTCTTCCGGCCGATCGCTCCCATCGCGACGCCGCGTCGCGCCGGCAGGATCCACGTGGACTTTCCACCCAGACGTTTAACTTTCCACTCTTGCGCGCGGTACCTGCGGCGTCGCGTGTCTTCGGAGGTCTAACGAGGGCCTGGGGATACCAGCGCGAGCCGCCCTGCAAATGCGGCCGAGAGCACTCGGCGAGCTGCGAGAATGACGCAGCTCGAGTTTCCGAAACGTTCTGATCTGAAAAGAGGCCGGGGACTCGACTCGGCAGAGCGTGGCGTTAATTAGTCGGTCGAAATCACCGGGCGAATAATGCAACGCGCCGTTCCCCGCCCCCCTCCGAGGTCTTCTCATCCGGAAAGAGGCAGGAACCCGACGAGTGTGTGTGTGTGGAACTAGTTGTGGTGAAAATCGCCGGACGAAGCGGATCCGAAAGCCGACTTTCCGCGGTCAGCGCGCGAGCGGAGAGACTCCGGCCGCCTCTCCGTTCGAATTAATCAATCGGACGCGCCCGGCGTAGGGCGCGCATGGGTAATGGCGACTGCTTCTCGATAGGATTTCCACGTAGTTTAATCTGGACAGAAGAGAGCCCGCACGGTGGACCTTCGCCCAGCCACGTCCGTCCGATTCGGAGGCGATTCGCTCGACTTCCGTTCGCTTCGTTCGCGCGACGACGCTCCCCCGTAAATCCGCGGTCGTTCAATTCCACCGCGGATAAGAAAGCGCTCCCCCCTCCCCCGGCCCCCGCCTCCCGGCCGCGCTGCGGGTATTCAACGGAATTTCCGTCTTGTGTGCACGCTATCCTGCCCGTCGCGTGTATGCAGACGAAAATAATCACGCATGCACGAGTGACGCGCCTTTGATATACGCGAGCGTACATGCAGCCCTCTCGCGTTGACCAACAGGAGGCAGGAGGGGGAGGGGGTGGTGCTGGTCGAAATATACGTTGCAGATGCATGTGCGCGCGGCGCGCCGGGAATAACGCTGGCCGAGAGAGAGAGAGAGAGAGAGAGAGAGGGAGAGGAGGAGAGAGAGAGAGAGAGAGAGAGAGAGAGAGAGAGAGAGCTTGCTGCCGAAACTCTTCCTTCAAACAGCGTATTAAAAATCTACGGTAAATATATGCAGATTACCGCTGCTACTCCTCCGATATCTTTGACCTTCGTACGTGCCGCAAAGGGCATGGCTCTGAGCGACTTCCGAGCGGAAGGTTTCGAGCTTCTCGGCGCTCATTGTTCATCGCAAAGTTATCGAAAGTAGAAACCGCCAGCCGCGCGACGGACGTTGTCCGTGACATATGTTATTGTTAAGGCCTGACGACTCTGAGTAACCTTCAAGGGATCTTTTAGTTCCTCCGCCGCTCGCAAGCGCAATGTACGTATATACGTAATATTCTATCGTCAATACACATATCGGTAATGAAATTATCTGGAGATAAATAATGTTTGCTGGTAGGGACACATCTCCAAAGAATTTTGTAAAAAAATGTTCGTCACTTGTTTCATTAATTCTACAATTTTCCAAATATTCAACAATTTGTTTATTGCTTATCTTTTATTATCCCGACAGTTCTGGATATCTTTCTTCGATCGGTACTTAGTGCTTTCCTGCAGCGAGTAAGACCATCTGCAAGTCGCAGCGATAACATGCGAGCGATAATCGCAAGCGGCTCATAACGCTTACCGTGTGCCGTTTATTTGATCTTCGCTGAATTTTCACGTCGCGCTCGATTGCTCATTTCCGAAGAACGATGCTGCACGCGTTCGATTCGGCACTCGCGGAAAAGCGCGCGGGCGCGCGCGTCTACAAATCTTCGTGCCGGCGTGCGATTTGAAATGCAGATGAGCGTCTCGCACCGCTATAAGCCGTCGGGATGCCGCTTCGCCTCTCGCCCAGCCGAGACTACAACCCCTTCGCCGTTTCCATTCTACGTTCACGGGTAGAGTCAGTCGCCCAGTCAGAGTAAGAGAGAGGGAGAGAGAAAGAGGAAGGAGGGAGAGAGAATAGGAAAATGAGAGGGGAAAGGATGAGCGGGCGTCGAATATCCGGTTTAAACTATCAAACTGGATATCCGCAACGGAAGCCGGCGGAAGCGGTCCCCAAGTTCGCCAAACGCGTTCGAACGCGAATCGAGATGGCGAAGATAGAGATTGGGCGGAGCGAACCGGGCTATTCGAGAGATCTCTCGACTTTCAATCGCACCGGCAGACTTGCGCCGATACCGGTGTTGCGCAGCTACATCTCGGATGTCCCGGCGAATCGGCATGTTTAGCGCTGTGACACACGGAAAATCGATCAGTCGCATCACGACGGCTCGAATGGACGATATTGTATCTTTATAACGTTTTGTGTGTATTTCTCCGCCGGAAGAAATTTTTTTCTAAGTGAGTGATGCTTGTTCGCGCCATCGTATCGCAGCTTAGAAACAGAGCGTATGAAGCCTATTGCAAAAGGAAGAAACGAGACTGCTGATGTACGACACCTTCGTGCATTTTTATAAATCATGACAGAAAGGCGCGATCGATCAACCGAAAGTACCGATGGATAAAGTTATCCAATCTGTTTCCAGGAGTTATGAGTTTCCAGCGGCAGGGAGATGGCTTCATCGATATGTTTCGCCTCCTGAGAAAATCTCTCATCTCGAAGGGGACGCTTTAACTTGTAAAGATGTGCGCGGAGGATTTCTTGGATTAAAAATATCTCGATGAACCTCATATGTCCCTTGACAAAAGAAAACTAAATAATAAATGGACAGATGAATATTCTTATGAATAAAATTACGGGGTTGATCAAGAAACTCGAACGATCGCCACTTGCAGAAACGTCACTTTTTGGAAATTGTCACTTTCTCTCCGCAATGCGCGAAATTACTGCAACGTTACCGCGGAACGTGTCGAAGGAGAGGGTTGTTGCGAAGAAGCGCACGCGGACTTCGAAGTACAAAACGTCCGCGACCGCGTGTATTCTTCGCCGGCGGCGAATCGCGAGAAGCGAGCGACATTTAATTGCGCGTCTTTTGTGTCAAGCTCGAGCACGTGGCGAGGCGGAACGGCTGGTTTAATCGGTATGTTGATGAAGATGAAGTCGGACGAAACGAACCGAGCTTGTCGTGTAATCTCCAGGGTGTGCGAGCGCGGGACGCTTAAATATTTGCTCCGGGGATAACGGCGAGGATCACGCGCCGGCGACAAAGCGATTTAGCCGGTCTGCGGCGCAACTGTCCGTATCTCCTAGCGGCGGGGACGGTATCCTGCGAGCGTGGCCAAGGGGATGCGGTATGATGAAGAGCAAATTTCTCCGCGGCACTTCATTATGATCGAGTTATACGGGATGTTTCATGAGAGGTGCGCGCGGCGAAGTTGGCAAGCGTCTTTGCAAACTCGCTCGCAGGCGGCCGCCGCTCTCCTCGCTCGAAAGTTCGATAATTACCGAGTTGCGTGGAGATTGAAAGAAATTTCGGCTGATCCCTCCCGCGCCCCCTTCTGATTCTTAATAAGCCGGGATCACACCTTTCATTAATATTCCCTGACACGCAAACAAGTCGTTGTGCGTCGCGCGCGACAGCGTTTGTGCCGGCGCCGGCGGAGTACCGTAAATCGACGACGGAAACTTTAAATGCAATTTCTGAGTAAGCGGAAAGCTACGGTTCTCCGCTTTACTTTTCGCTCGCGGCCATACTTCCAATTACGGGCAATCCGTAACGACGTTTTCTTTCCTTTCCTTTTCTCCTTTTTATTCTAGCTTCCGGTTGCCGCGCATAGACCCGAGACGAGGTTTGCTCGGCTCGATAATTTACGACGAGATCGTCGATCGCGGCGCGTAACGCTCCCGTTGCTCGGCATCGACGAGCGTCTGATTTTCTTGCGGCGGCAACGGAGAGCAACGGCTCTCCGCTCGCAGGGAATCCTGAGGGAGCTTAACGTGGCCGACTCTCAGGAATTCCGGCGAAGCGTGGGGGTACACGGTGTAGTATTACATGAAAGGGATGCTCGTTACGTTTTGAGACGCGCGCATCCCCAGCGGGATAAAAGCCGGCGGCTGCTGCGTCGTCCCGGCGCAGACGGCCGGCCCCGACTTCCAGCGGCGGGCCGGGAATTGTTTTTCGAATTAATTTGTCAGAAATAGCGGCTTATTGTTTACCAGCGGGCGAGGCTAATTAAAGTAGAGGAGCAAGCGACAGCGGGACGGAAGGATGCGGAACGGAAAAGCGCCGCTTCTTCGCCGGCCGGGCCGGCCGGGCCGGCCATATTGTTACGCGGCCGAGAACTTCGCCGGGGAGCGAGCGGCGGCCCGCTTTCCATTTCTCTCGCCTCCTTCTCACGCGGCGCCCTGAAAAGGAAATATCCCTCAGCGGCGAATAAAGTTTGCCCGCTGGACCGTGAAAGCACCACCGATGCTAAGCGCGTTTGACTCGCATTAATTAACGGGTTTTCCCTACTGTTCGGAGCGTCGAGTCCTCGAGTTTCGATTCGTCTCCAATCCCTCTCACTTATTTTATCCACTCACTTCCACGACGGATCTGTCGCGCCCGAGGAAATCGAGAAATAATTTTCCACCTTTGGCACGATTCACGCGCGTACGGACCACCGATGCTGACTTTGTGTCGTAATTTACGACTTGGTGTGTGCAATTTACGTACAGTACGCTCGTCGATACATCAATGGCTGAACGCAGCGTTCCGTGAGAAAGATCTAATTAGCGAGGGCAAAAGTGTCGATAACTCGTCCTCGACGTCATTTTGTCCGTTGCAGATTCAGTTGTAAAAGTACAGCAGTAATGTTCTTTTAATGTTTTCCTGAGCGGAATAGAATACGAATGCCAATTTCAAAATCGTTTCCGTCGAATATACGACGCGACGCTCCCCGATTTATTCCTCGCACGTAAACCGATCTTATTGACGCGTCAACGTATTGTCAACGTAAACT